CTAAAAAATAAAGCTCAAAGTAAAACGAAGTAAGTGGCGTTCTTTCATATTTCAGTTTTTTTTGAATATTTTAGTAATTTTTGAAAAGATCAAATATTGCAATTAAAAAAAAAAGGATATGCAACACTTTTGAAAAAATATATTCAACTATAAAGAAAATTTAAAATATGAATTAAAAAAATATATAATATACTTGTATTAAAAAATAAAAAACACTAAGTTTTCCACTTTAAAAACAAAGTTTGATCGTCTAATTGTATAGTAAGAATAATCTTGATCTTTTGAAATAATGAAAAAAATTAAATTAGAAAGGTTTTAGTTGAACTGTGGCTGCAAGATAGTTTTAGTTGCTTTTGTTTTTTTATGAAATATAAATATTTAAAGAATATAATTATTTCATACAAAAAAAGAAATGTTTTAAACAATTTCTTTACACAAAAAATGTTCTTAACAAACCTAACAAGTTTCGTCACTTCATTTCACTTTTCAATTAATTGATTTAAATATACTTCTTAAAAACGTGATTCAATTCAATTACTCATATCGGGTGAACACAGAAAATTCCGGTGAAACTTTAAATTGAAATTTCTCCAAAACCAAAAATGCTTTTTATTTAATTTTTTTTTATTAAACCTTACTTTCTTATCTTAAATGGCGTTGATAAATTTTTATTTACAAATTAATGATTTGCAAAATGTTTTGGAAACAAAGTGAGGTGCGTAAAAAGGTTGTGAATTTTTTTTGCAAAACCCATCGACTTACTATCGCTTGATTGCTAAAGACGCAAATGTCCTAAAGCCTACATTCATAGAAATTATAAACAAGTTCAAGACTACTCAAAGCTTTAAAAGAAAACTTGGAAGTGGAGGAAATAAAACTTTCCACAAATCCAAAAAGGTAAAACCGATTTTACGTTCAATTGTTCAACTCAGCAAGAAATCCAAACCAGTCACGGCGAGATTTTGCATGAAAATTCAAGACTTCTCTTTCTTAGATCAAAAAAGTACTTCAAAATGCTGGAATTAAAGCATTTCATAAAAAAAAATACACCTAAGAGAAGCTTAAGTTGTGGAATTAAAGGATTTCGACGCGCAAAGAAGTTGGTCAAAACAATGGAAACAAAAATAAACCTGTCAATGATCAATTTAAGTATATTTGACGGAAAATACATACAAGTTCCTAGACGGAAAAACATACAAGTTCCTAGAGTGGCAAGCAGTTTGTAACTGTGGTATGGAGTCCTCTTGTTTTGTCACTAAAAAGACTTTGACTGCTAATCTCTACATCAAAGAATGCTTCCAAAAAATTATTTTGCCTCTAATAAAAAAACACAATACCGATATCTCTTTTGGCCTGATCTTGTTGCCTCTCACTATTCTAAAAGAGTTCTACAGTGGTACAAAGATAATAACAGAAAATTGTTCCTAAATATCCTCCAAATCGTCCTGAAGAGCGCAAGATTGAAGATTTTTGGGCAACAATTAAAGAAATTCTTTGTAAGACAGGTGGAGTAACAAATTATAAAGAAGAATTTCAAAAAAGTGGATTAATGCCACCAATATGGTGAAAAAAAAAATTCTGTGAAATGATAGCATTAACCCTCACTAAAGTTCGATTTCTTGCCAAACAACCCATCAAGCCCTATAAAATTAGGTTCAAACTGTAATTTTTGTAAACGCAATTAAAAATAAAAAAATTAAAATAATAGGCATTTATGGTTTAAGAGCTTTTAGATCATTATTTATTATTATTAATATCTATTAAACTCCCACTAATAAAATTACAGGTAAATTAGTTTATAATAAAACAGTTACAAATTAAATTAAGGCCAGCCTCGGCTCTCCAAATATTTGTCTTTAATGCCAATAACTAGACCGACTAGACGGTTAGATCTATTTTAGAAATATTCTCCTCCATCATTTTTTTAAATTTTACTCTCTGTTCCTTTAAGTTCCATAATTGAAACGCTTCTTTTAATATTGATATAGTATTAGCCTGCAGTTCTTCTTAAAGTAGTGTAAATTAATTTTTTTAATAATGTCCATAATCACCTTTTATTTTATAACTTAAACTTCCGAGAAGTTAATAGATTGTTTGTACTTCATCTACACTTTTAGTATTTTTTTAGGATGCGAAAGCGGTAGACAAAAATTGAAATGCTATTTTTTCATCTTTTTAATATTTTCATTTTTTCAAACATGAAACTATTGTTTTTCATTTTCTTATTCAAAATTTTATCCTTTTTCTTATATATATATGAACCAAAATTAATTTTTGGAAATGAATAAAAAACTACATTTGCACTTATTTATTTTGGGAACATCAAAGCATCCACAAAAAATTATATTGTGTATTATATGTATAAAAAAATTACAAGCTATTTTATCTTTTTGTTTTGTCAACCATGCTTATATTTAATTGTTGAAAATGCATTAGATAACTTTAACCGAATAATCTATAATTTCACATTCTAACAACTAGTGAAATATATAAATAATATATAGAAATATATAAGTATCTGTCTGCTATCTCTATGTTATTTGTTTAACTTAACATCTTCTGACTTTCACTCTACTGTATATTTTTCTTTTTAAACTCACTTACTCTTGGTTCATTGAAACGGGTTATGATTCTTTTTAGTGAGCTTAACTCGTCTTTGCGGGTCTTAAAGTGTGGCTTCTTTATACTAAGCTTTTAAAGAAATTTATAAATTGGGAACTCTGTGGATGCAGTATGGGGCAATTCTACGGGAAAAAAGTGACACCCTTGACCAAAAAAGAAAGCAAATTTTAAGATATACTTGTAGTTTTTACATGAATTTAGTCAATTAGCCTGGAGACTTTTTTTAAAAAAAAAAAAGTTGTAGTTAGTATTTTTGTGACTTTTATTGGTTTTGTTACTAAATAGTTACAATGTTGTGGTAAAAAAAATAAAACGGGTACAAGAAATATAAGACATAACTTAATATACAATATAAATATATATATATATATATATATATATATATATATATATATATATATATATATATATATATATATATATATATATATATATATATATATATATATATATATATATATATATATATATATATATATATATATATATACAATATAAGCTCTTCGAGCTGACCCGGAGAAAGGGGATACAGGTTTGAAATCTTGTGAAATAAGAATCATAAAAAAGTTGAACAAAAAATCCAAAAAAGTTCGACATATTGTTTTTATTATTATAAACAGCGATGAAGGAAAATAGAAAATTAAAAAATTTACCCTTTCTACATCTATGATTAAGTTATAGCATAGTTTACAAATAATATTTTTAAATTTGCTCTTATTTAGTAAGAAATTTTATAGCCAAACAATATTATAACATTTTACAGATAATGTTTTTTAAACAAATAACAGGAAAGGGTTTACTATTATGTTAAACCGATTTGTGAGCAACTCTATTTTTTACACTTTGTTTGATAAAGGCTAGCAGACAGACAACACCTTTTATAATAGAATAAATGAATACAGTGCATGGAAGAGACATTAGATTTCAGAACTCAAGAGTTCCTAAAGGAATTTGTGATCGGTGTTGTTCAGTAATGAGGAGAAAAGATAGAAGCTAGAACAAAAATATTCCACTTTTATTCATTTTTGAAGTAAGTTCTTTAAAGATGTCCACAAGGGACAAACCATGTCATTATCTCATCTATAAACCTGGTTAGCTTTAGCTCAATCAAAATCAACAATTTCAAAAAATTTGTGATAAAGTTATTAGCGTAAATGGGAGTTTTCGTGATGGTTAGGCAAAAGATGACAGACATTTGCAGTTATTACCAGCTAAATTTTATTCTCTTTTTAAAATTTCTATTTAAATTACATGCAATAAAGTTTGGCTTATTTTAGCATTCTTTTTTTTTAGGCGCATCAAGTGCTAGACAACATGCTTCCATAAAAGTGACAGTACAAGGTTTTACTCAAACTCCAATTAATACAGAAATGTCAAACCTTGGCAAACATGTTTTGAATATCAAATTCGTGGAACTATATATTGGTTCAAAGTGTCTCTAATTAGGTAACAACACAGCATTTTTTTTTTATGCATTTATAAATAGCAATTAAAAGAGGGGAAGAGAAAAAGATCATACATGGAAAAAACAATCACTTACTGTAAAGACTAATGAACTGCTTGTCTATGTTATTTTGAAAATAAAAACATTTTCTGAGCAAATTGTCAAACTTGGAGTAGATCGTGGTGCATGATGTTTAAAATTTTCTCAGGATATTGTAAAAGCAGATATAAGGCCTGATTATAATAACTCAAAACCAAAAAAAATGACTCTTAACCAGAAAGAATTTCAGCAAAACCAGCAAATTATTTTTGCTATTTCTGAAGGAATGTCAGAAAACTGCACTAACGCCAAACATGTTTTCACTTTGACCTAGGCTCGATCAAAGTAATTTGTGGTACCTTGCAATACAAAATTAGCTAATGTTTTATGAGGTCTTCTATCCCACACTTCCAATCATTTATGCACTTGGTGCAGAGCAACCTCCACCAATCTTGCTGAATGTGGAGAACTAAGAGGATTTGGTTTTCTCGACTTTTTTTTTAAGCATTTGTTTCTGCTGGCATTAATTTTAACTTCTACTGCTTTGCAATAAACTGTAAAGTAATTTCTATAACTTTGAAAATAATTGTTTATTGTTGTGAATTTTTTGATAACCTGAAGGGTTGGTTGACATAATTTTATTTTTCTAAAGGTGCGTGCAGTTAAGCATTTTTATTATCTGTTATTTATAAAATGAGCTCATATTGGAATTCATATTATCATCAGTTATATATAAAATGATCTCATATTGAAATTTATATAATTGCAATAAAATTCAGACTAATTCCTGTAGGTGTAATGGGTTCCAAATTAACAACCTCTTGACTTTGCTTGTAGATCTTTGCAACATAACTGGCTATGTATAAAACTGTATAGATCAATTTTACCCAAAATA